GCTTTATGTTGCACGTAGTATCGCAATTAGCATACAGTTCGCAACCATAAAGCATGGTTGGAAGCAAGTATGTCTTGGCTAAGAGCAGTCTGATTTTGATTGGTGGAAAGTACTGGGTAGTCCATAAGGAGCGCAACATTCCGTACACTTTGCCTATTACTGTAAAAATGGTGTTCTTCTATGTCAATGTTCTGTTGAAAGTCACGCCCAGGTTTTTGGCAGCATCAACGAAATTTATTACCAAATTGCCTACCATTACTTGTGAATAATTGTCTAGCTTAAAGTGTTTTTTGTAAATTGTAATGCACTGGGACTTGCTCCGATTCAATATTAGGCCATTATCAGTAGACCAGCCATTTACTCGACACAGATCAGCATTAAGATTAGGTATGCAGGCATTAATTGATTTTAGTGAGCAATCCAGATATAACTGCACGTCATCTGCGTAAACATGCACTTTACAATGTTGTAGAACTTTCGGTAGATCGTTAACATATAGGACAAACAACAGCGGTCCAAGTATTGAGCCTTACGGCACACCTTCAATAACGGGCAAGAAGCTGGACACAAGAGCTACCAACGCATACAGCTTGCGAACTCCCTAGGAGATAAGATCTAACCAGGCTTACAGCTTGGGAAGAGAAATTAAAAAGATTGGTGAGTTTTAAGCAAAGTAACGTGTGGTCAACGGAGTCAAAAGCCTTTGAGTGATCAAGCAAAGTTAAAAAAGTGGCATGATCGTTGTCCATAATCAGCATTATATCGTCAGAGACTTTCAAAAGAGACTTTCAAAAGAAGCTGCATTACTGCTTCTGTTCGGCCGGAAGCCAGATTGATGAATACGAATAAGTGATTTTTTACTCATAAAGGTGTTTATTTAGCGATGCATTTTTCGCTCCAGAACCTTCGAAAGGAATGGCAAAATGGCAATTGGTCTGATATCACCATTTGGTTTCAAAAGAGGGATAATGTTAGCCTTCTTCCAGCAGCTCGGAAAGACGGACGTTGTCAATATAGTGTTAAAATCGTAGGTAAGGTAAGAATTAATGGGAATAAACACTTAATAAATTTAGGATGGATTCCGTCAAGACCAACGACGTCGGATTTCACAGGAAGTATGGACTCAACAACATCACATTCATCTACGCATTGAAAAGAAAATGCACTCAAGAAGTTATTAAGACAAACATTATAACCATCATAACATATATTACTGCAAGGACGAGACAAATTAACAAACTTTGCATTTACTTCATCAACATTTACAGATTCAGGTGAGACAGAGATTTTATGGCCTTCATAACTCTATTTCTTATAGACTTGTACTCATTATGGGCCGCGTCGGACTTCAATTTCTTCCAGGTTTGATACGCACTATTCCTATCATCAATCAATTTTCTTATATAGGTGTTAAACCATGGACGACTACCATGCCTGCTTGGTTTTGCCATTAGAGGCACACATGTCTCAAATAGTGTGTTAATATTTGTCTGTATGAAATTAAATTGTTTGTAAATTAATTATTTGTTTGCTGAAAACTTTAAATAAAATTGAAATTGGAGTTAAACTATTGATTTAATTACTAATATTGATTAGCGGAGTGTTAAGTGCTATTTGCGCCTTGCGGGGATGCAAATTTAAACGCATAGTACATATTAAATTTAGTTCAAATAGCCAAGTAGCCCTTCGGTCGCATCTTTTGTGTTTATCTACATTCGCATGTATATGGTTTGTGAAAGTTGCAAATTTAATGTAGTCGCGCTTGGAAAATTGTTCGTAAGTACGCATTTTTAAAGTGCATTGGTTGTTGGACTACATGCATAAAAAGTAAGATTCGGCCTGGTGCTAACAGACAATTCTTCGTCATGCATTGTACAAATACAATACGGACCAAGAGTTTTAATCCTACTCCGAACGGCGATAGTATTTTTTATGAGAAGCTGTTTTTCGTGGCAAAATGCATATAGTCCAACAACAAATGCAGTTTAAAAAATGCGTACTTGCGAAAAAATTTCCAAACGATATAAAAATGCGCTGCAAAAAAACAATGAATAGAAAAAAATTTTCAAAGAGAAGGTCCACAAATAGTGGATTTGATGTTTGCGCGGATTGAAGAAGCTGCAGCCCTACAAGACGAATTTATTATAACTTATCTTAATTGTTTCTTTTGTTATGTACATACATATGTACATCGCGAAGAAAAAATAAATATGAAATATACATTTCCTATAATAAATTTTATTTCCACATTTGAAGTGCAATTGATAACCTTTGGAATTGACTTGATAACATTTGGAATTGACTTGAGAGTTAACCATATTCTCAAATGGAGATCAAACTCCCCTTTTTATTGAGAAAGCTGTAATTTTCAAATCAATATTAAATCATTTTCAAACGTTTGACATTTGAGAATGGCTTTGATTTCAAATCATTCTCAAATGTTTATCAAACGTAATTGTTTCCTGGGTATAAATGCATAACCAAAACAAAATGCATGATCAAGACAGACGCGGAAAATATCTCCCATACAACGGCGTTGAAAATTTTTTCGCGATAAGTTTAGGGAACGTACCCATTAGAGTGGTTCAAAAAATTTTTTTTTGCAAATTCATAAACGCTGCCTCAAATTATTGTTGATTGTGATAAAAAAAGAGAAACGTGTTTTTTTTTATTTTGAAAAAAAACTCTTCTTATAGGCCGCGCTAGTCGGTTTTTTATACAAACGCTGACGTCCTAAATTTTTTCATTTTCTTGACATGTTAAAATGCAGCTAAAAATGTGGTTTTTACATATAATTACTGTGGTTTTATTGGAGAACATTCCCTTAATTACATACCTGTCTTGGTCAGTTAGAATGGGCCTAGCGCCCGAAAATATGCTCTCGAAAAGAGACTAGTAAAATTAAAACGTTGACTGACGTTTTTCAAAATTCAAAATGGCGATCAGTTTTTTAGAAAAATGGTTGGATTTGTTGGAAAACCAGCACTTGAGAGTTTTTGGGGTCGCCGATTACGAATCTGAAGTCAATTTTTTAAAATTCATAATGGCGGATCCAATATGGCGATTAAATGAAAAAAAAAAATACTAAAATTAAAACGTTGATACTGAACGTTTTAAGCATTGACAAGGGTTGAAACTCGTTTCCAGTGGGTTTCTGTGCTTGCTGATTATGAATCTGATGTCAAATTTTCAAAATTCAAAATGGCGGTTAAGAGCTGCAAACAAATCCAATCATTTTTTTTTAAGTTGGTCGCCATTTTGGATCCACCTTGAAAAAGTGGGTCACATATATGGGTACGTTCCCTTATCGCGATAAGCTGTTGTGAGTGATCGCGAATGGATTACTTGCATCGTTTTTCCCATTTATGAGAGGCCGACATCGGCAATGCTCGGACTTCTCATATTCGAGTGAGAGCGGATTTTGTTTGTCGATCGCATTCCGAATGTGAGAGTTGATAAATTTGTTTGCATTTTTGACTCGCGAAAAAAGAATGCAAAACATAGATTTGGAATATCATCGATGATAATCTCATAAATAAATGAAAACGAATACATAATCATAAATGAGAACATACGAACCCTGTGGTTAATGATTATTAATATTCTACTGAATAATAGTGAGAGGAGAGTAGTTCTGTATAAAATAATTATCCAAAATGGACACGTGTGGTAATCAATATTACACTCCGCATGTCTCAATCGCAACTGAGATTCGAGATGCATCGACTGGAGATAATGCATCTATTAACTTAAGTTTCATACATATTTCAAGAAAGCTGATATGCCTGCACCCCAAGGGAGTATTATCGAGGCAGACAATACAAGCTCAATCAGTTCCACGGAAGAGCAGCCTCCGCCCAGAATTTTTCCCAATGGAGCAATTGTCAAAAATCTGCTTTTTTAATTAAAAAGTTGTTTATTGAAACTACCTAATTTTTTGGATCATGCAAATAACCTTTAACTTGTTATTGGATGTTAGATATATGTTCATATTTGCTGTTTTTTGGAAAAAAACTAATAAAATATTTGAATTGCCTTTACTTTCTTCGCCTAAAAAGTTTTTTTAGCTGTTTTTAGCTCGTTTTTTGTCCATTCTGTTGCTAAAAAAAATCTCGTACACTGCTGGCATCACTGCTCTACCACACATACAATCTCACTATTCTGCTGACTTCGATTATCCCCTTCCGATAACTTTTTCCTTCCGCGCTTGCCTAGCCCCGCGACACATACATATGTATGTGCTGATTTGTGCATCCCTACCGTAAATAGGGATAAATCGATACAAGTAAATCCAAGTACATACTCGATACTTTTCTCAATTTACCAAGTATTTTTGTACTCGATACTTTTTACTCCGATTCAAGTAGATATCGAAAAAAAGGACTTGTATCGGAAGCGCAAAACTTATTATGCTTCAGCATCTTCTTTGAAAAGTAACCCATTAGAGGAATTGGAAGATATGCGCAATACATTTCCACTGCTATATAAGCAAGCCCTCTATACATAACGGTTGTTGGGTCATCTGTCCCTTGCGAGAGGCTTTTCTCAAAAACAGGTACAACTATATCAAAACCGCGAAACCACCTTTCAGGAAAAAACTTGGAAAAGTTGATAATTTCGGGAAATATAACAAGAAAGGAAAATAACTCCTTATTTTATATGAAAAAACTTTATCTATTAATCTTGTAAAAATGTATTCTATTGTTTTTGAAATCAAATACTATACAAAATGATTGTTGTCTTAAATTTTTGTATGTAAAAATATTAAAGGATAAATAATCTTGTAAAAAAACATTTTTTGTGAAAAAAATACAATTACTTTGAAAAATATGCAAAATCGTACTCTACGTACAAGTACTCGATAAATTTCCGATACTGAGTAGGTATCGATACCTTGTTTGATACAAGTACAATTACTTATTTGAGTAATACCTTGATGGTATCGATTTATCCCTAACCGTGAACAATAAAAAATGAGATAAAAAAATTTGTTTACTTACTTGTATTTGAGAAGCATGTAAATCCATTGTTATAATATGGTCAGCTCCAGCTACAGACAACATATTAGCGACTAATTTAGCAGATATGGGGGCACGACTCTGTTGGTAGGTAGAAAAAAATATATACTTATACATACATACATATATATAAAATATTAGATTCATAAATGTAAATATTTTTTATTTTTTTTAAACCAATAACTATTGACACACCCATCACAAACAAAAATGAAATACATGTACACTCTGGGATTAATTCAACTTTCATATTGCATTGTCCACGGGTTCTGAGCTAAGTTCGAAGTCTCTAGGTCATCAGTACGGTTGCCAGACGTACTGATTTTATCAGTACAGTACTGATTTTTCAATTCTTGTACTGACGTTATTCATTTCTTCAATCAGTACGCTAATGTCATGATTTTCCAAAATTTGTACTGATTTGTACTGAATTTTCAATTCAAACAAAGTACTGTAGGATTTTCTTAAGTTAAATTATTTAAAAAGAAGGCTGAGGTTGTTTTGTCGAGTGTTGTTAGTTATCTCGAAAATAATTTTCATTTTAATAACAAATTTGAATATTCGAATTTCTTTTGCCTACAGCTTACAATTATTTGTTCTTAATTTATTGACATTGTAAAAGACTTTGTATACAAGACATAGAGTTAGATACTCTTTTTAGGGAATTAATTTTGCGTAATGGAAAAAATTTTATTTAAGCCATGAGAAAATATTAGATGAAGTCCTTAAATATAGGTACTTTTCCACAGTTTTAACAAATACGTAATTTTGTTTTTTTCAGCACCACACTCAAACGAAACGAAGTAGAGGATATTGAGTATAAAGTTTGCTTCCTGGCGCAAAGGGAGAAACCCATGATTCAATAATTAAAGGTTTGCTCATTATTGACATTAGAGTTTTGACACTCCCTTAGCTCCCTTACAAAAGCTTTGCACACACACACGAACCCACACACAATGCTTTGCTAAGGGAGCCGATTTTGTCAAGAGGGAGCGAGAAAATTGCTTTTTGAGCAAACCTTTTATTATTGAATCATGAGAGAAACCGGCTTCTAATTAAATTTTTTGAAAGTGAACTTCAAATTAAAATTAATTTCAAAATTAAATGTATAGAATTCTTTGACTATTTAAACACTGAAAATGGAAATGATCTCATTTTTGCTATTCAAAAATGTGATAAATATAAAATAATTTATTGGCTCCTGAGTACAATAATGTGTACACTCATGTTAAAATGAATAACACTTATTTTTTATGAACTATGTTTTATTTATATACCATCATATTGTTAAAAACAAGTACTCTGGCGTTTTAAAGTATTATATGCAGGGTTTGAAAATGCTGTCATTTTTTTAATTTAATTTGCTTTTGCTGTGACTTCGGGATTTATGATATCGAAAGCAAAGCAAAAGCAATTCAGAAAAAAACAAATGCTTGGCTGCCATTTTGCTGTGAAATTTCGAAAGCAATCAGACAGTTCAAAAGTAATTTGTGGAAGCACAACGACAGGGAAGCAACACCAAGCAATATAAATTTGACTATAACTTCGAAGATGTTAAATGTATGCATGCACAAATACACTACTCTGTACTTCTACTGGTGACAAGAGACGACCATAAGCTAAAGATTCCATACATTACTGATTTTACGTCAACTCGCTAGCGAAAGGTCATGCCACGCGTAGCACTCGGATGGTTCCATTGACATCGCCATGTTAAATTCGTTAGGCAAAGGAAATGGTATCGCAAATTTTGTGGCTAGTACTCACTCCTGGCGAGTCAGCTAAATCATATACATACATGTTATGTATGTATATATGTAGATATACACTATGCTGCAAAACTAAATGTGCATAGCACAGTCAAGCAGATCACAGCACAGCAAAAGCACAATCACAGTAAATCGAAAGCAGTACATATTTTCAATAAACTGCCGATAAAAAGAATATAATTTTCAAAACCACAGCAAGAGCGAATCCGTTCGAATGAAAATCAAAAATTTCAAAGCGAAGCAAAAGAAAAAATAATAGTGCTGTTGCTGCTGTGCTGACAGTTTTTCAAACCCTGATTATATGTTACTTACATTCATAATTTTGCTTTGAATAAAAATGTACTGAAAAGTACTGATTTTTTTAGCATGAAAAAGTCTAACGTACTGATTTCGCGCATAAAAAATCTGGCAACCCTAGTCATCAGGAAGTTGGTTGAGAATTGAGTGCAAGATTTGATTACACACAAGTGAAACATAATAAACGCTTATAATAAAAATCAGTGAAAAATTCATTCTAAAAAAAGAAATTGTAGTAGCGATTTTTGATGCAGAGAACCCTAGAGGAAAACGTTTCACGCCGACCGAATTGATTTTAATTTTTTGACCGCCATATTGGATTCGCCATTATGAACTTTTAAAATCACTAGTGAACCCGCAGGGCGTTAAAACGCCCAAAATTTAATTTCAAAAACTTAAAAAATATTCCAAATGTTAATCAGAGTTATAAGAGATCCGAGCGCCATATTTCATCAAACCGTGCAGCCAGTTCTGAGTGAAAAGCAGTCTCGCATAGTGCATGTTTTTATTTTCATCGAATTTCAAATCACCCTATGCCGATGAAAAAAGTTCTTAATTAAAAAAATAAAACTTTATCATACATCTACAGGCAAGGTCTCTAATTTAACCTCTCATTTTTGAAATTCCCTTTCAAAAGTATTCTGAAACTAAAATCTTCTTAAATCTCTTTCGTCCTACATTGTGATATGCATGTAACCAATAAACTGATGAAATAATTCGAATTCGATTGTTCGAAAAATAGCAACCATCCTAAGTAACGGTCAGGAATAAATCCCTTTCAAACCCATTTCGATTTATACCCATCTTTTAATAATTCCTCCAACTTACTGAATAATTTGAATTTAGCTTTTAAAACACGTGGCAACTCTCTTCAAACATTTGAAATGTTCAAACTAAAGATTTCTTACCATTCCTTCGTTTGACTACGGTATTTTTATATTTCGTATACTTTTTGAATTAGTTAATTGAGTTAGGCCTTTCAAACAGGTGGCAGCCCTCTTCAAAAATATTTTCAAAATTAATCGTTGTTAACTCTCCTTTGCCGGACACTGCGATACCTATTTTAATTAACTTATAAATTAAGTGCAATTTTAATTTTCAAACATGTGGCAACGCCGATAAATACTGTTCAAAAATAAAAAATTGTCAACCCTTTTTGATTGATACCCATATTTTAATAATTCATTTAACTTATAAAATAATTTGAATTTAACTTTTTAAACAGGTGGCAGACCTCTTTTAACACCTCACAAATATTATTGGCGTTGAAACCAAAGATTTAATAACACTTTCGTTTGACATTCATATTTTGATATTTCTATAACTTGTGTATAAGTAAACTAAATTCGAAATTTCAAGCAGATGGCAACCCTTTTCAAAATATTTTCAAACTACTAATTTCTAAAACACCTTTCGTTTGGCACCCATATGGTGATACATATTTCTCTAACATAATATGATTTTTTAAATAGGTGGCAATATAGTTCAGCTAAGAAACAATGCTTGTCAAAAACATTTCAATTGATAACCAGTTTGTAATAATTGATTTATTTATTTTAATAATTTGAATATAATTTTTTAAAAGCTGGCACCTCTATTCGAATAAGTTAAGCCTTACTGCGCATCTACAGCACATTTTCGAAAATCGAACGAACGGTGCGGATTTGATGGCATAGATTTTTAAATAATTTTAATTTAATTTTTCAGTGGTAACTCCTTCGAAAAACTAAAACTAGTTTGCACATGTACAGACCAAGCGCTTTAATTTGACATCTAATTTTTGAAAATTGGGCGAACGGTACAGATCTTTTATGCTGAACGAAAAATCCCTTCGCGTATTATATATATGTACATATATATATATTATTTATATGTTGCGAATGTGGAATATTAGACATCCGCGGATGCGAATATCTAACAGCTAACATCCGCGGATGCGGATGCGAATGCGGATGTCAAGAATTTTTAAGAAACAATTAGAATCTAGCATAATGGCGAGATCGTTGTTTAAACAGCGCTTACAAGCCAAACCAGATATGTCGGGTTTTTCTAAAGCTTTTTAAAAAGAATTCTTCATTCTCATTCCTTTGGATGCTTCGGAATTTAGGGGATCTGTAACTTCATCAGCGTTTTTCGATTTTGGTATTTGTGATTCGTTTTTAATACACACTTTCTTCTATGACTGGTTTGAAAAATGTGCTTATATCGAGCTAAATAGGTGGATATGGAAAATTAATTTTAGTTTTCCAGGAATCAAAATTTTTAACAAAATTCTGGTCATCGGATCAGAATATTGTTGTTTAAAAAAAGCACCCCGTTTTTTAATAAGCATTTGAATCTCAGATAGTTACGTANTATCTAATTAAAGGTCAGACCTATAGCTTTTTAATTATTTGAGCATCGATTCTCTTTAAATCCAGACGTTGACCATTTCTGCTGGAAATCCCTATTGAAGGAGCTTACTCTTTGACTTTAAATAGCAAAAAAGGGACAGTTTTACCACAGAAGTTTTTAGCCAAGGATCCAATGAAGATCCGTACGAAAAAAGTATTGCCCGACAAGTAAACAAAATCTCTCTTTTTAAAAGGTTTGTTAAGAATAAATTCCCCAAAGAGCTTCATTTGAAATTATTGAAACGAATATGTGTAACATGAAAAGCAAATCACGAAAATTTGGTTAAGAATTACAGTACATAATTTCTTCTTTTGTGTCTAGTAGTTTTTTTTAAGATTGGTCCAAAAACATCATAATAAAGAAAGAAACCAATGCAGGTATATAAAGCAAAAAAAAAAATTCTAAAAGGACGATGTTCTCCTTGACGTACGCCAAAGGCCAAGAAGAAGTGGGAACTCGTATGACTGCCCATTGATAGCTCGGTTATATAGCTTAAGAAATAATATGGTAAAAGACATTTTTATCAAAGTTGATATATATGACATTTGACCAGTTTTGTTAAACAAATACTCCCACGACCACAGGAAAAAATATTGGCTACAATTTGCCATTTTGTTTGCT